AGGTACGATCGTATTACGAAAGCGAGCGCGTGCGAGCAAAACGTCCGAAACGTGCTATTTTCGGCTTTATGTCGGTCGCTTCATCGAATATAGGATCACGCCGAATACCATTGTCCTTTTTTACGCGTGAAAATAAACATTTTCGAAAAGATTCAAAATTTCTATATTCTATAGTACAAACGGTACCGGACTATACCCTTATTCGTTATAACAATCGAGTAGGTTGCGATGTTTACTGACAGATTGCGATGTTTACCAATAGATTCCGATGTTTACTGACAGATTATGCAATTATTCTTTCACGTTTAGCAGTTCATCAGCTTAAATACGATAAATATGATTGAAAGACGTTATTAATGCCAAAGATCAATTCCTGAAGAGAGCAGAAATCCACAACATAGCAAGACTTTGTACTTATAACAGTGTGTGTATTGTGTAAGTGATACCCGGTGCCAAGTGTTTACAGTTTTTCGGTTCAGACGAAGTGACTCGGTGTATATCTATCGTGATAATGTATTTCATCTTTGAAGAAGTTTGAGAGGTCCCCTCAATAATCGCCAGCAGATTTAAATAAGGTAAAAATAATTTTCATTCCTGTCAAATCATAAAACATTTACACTGAAGAAAGAAGGTGCTATCCTTAGGCGAACACGGTTGAGATATGTCAAGTGTCAAGCGCCATTTTTTTGCAAGTCGTGCAGTAGCTAGACATGCGACGTTGCCGGATCCTCACATAAATCTGAGTTTGTCATAAAATTTTATAGAGGGCATTAATGCTTTATCGAAGATTTTATAATGCCGAAAAACGAAAAACGAAAAACGAAAAACGAAAAACGAAAAACGAAAAACGTAGAACGTAGAACGTAGAACGTAGAACGTAGAACGTAGAACGTAGAACGTAGAACGTAGAACGTAGAACGTATAACGTAGAACGTAGAACGTAGAACGTAGAACGTAGAACGTAAAACGTAGAACGTAGAACGTAGAACGTAGAACGTAGAACGTAGAACGTAGAACGTAGAACGTAGAACGTAGAACGTAGAACGTAGAACGTAGAACGTAGAACGTAGAACGTAGAACGTAGAACGTAGAACGTAGAACGTACAACGTAGAACGTAGAACGTAGAACGTAGAACGTAGAACGAAAAACGAAAAACGAAAACTGAAAACTGATGAATTATAAAAGATAACAGATACCAGATACCAGATCCACATACCAGATACGAGATACTAGATACCAGATACCAGATACCAAATACCAGATACCAGATACCAGACACCAGATACTAGACACCAGATACCAGATACCAGATACCAGACACCAGACACCAGATACCAGATACCAGATAAAGAGATAATAGATACCAAATACCAGATATCAGATACCATATACCAGATTCCAGATTCCAGATTCCAGATACCAGATACCTGATACCAGATACCCGATACCAGATGCCAGACACCAGATACCAGACACCAGACAACAAACACCATATACCAGATACCAGATACCAGACACCAGACACCAGATACCAGAGACCAGATACCAGACACCCGACACCAGATATCAGATACCAGATACCAGACACTAGACACCAGACACCAGATCAAAGATGCCAAAGGATAAAAAATGATTAGAGATAGGGATAAAGTATATATCGCTAGCATTGCATTAGCATACCAGCAACTGCGCTACGGGTGGTTTTAAATAAAGACATCAACGGACAATATTTAGCATAGCGTTGGCATGCTAAAAACTGCGCTAGTCGATAATATTAAGCGGTGATCTTTTGTTCGATTTGGTAGTAATAGGTATAATTGGTAGGAGTTCGGAAATTGTCGTATGACGTCGACGCGGTTTTTCCGTTTTTTTTCCCGGTTCGCGAAACGTTCGGAAGGAAAGCGATACCGTTTCGGAAACTAGAAACTCGGCGCTTTACCGGGAAGCGGGAGCCGTCGCGGTGAGAGGAACGGATCGTATCGAAAACGGCCGGTAAAGTCGAAAAAACCGGTAGATTTTCGTTCTGTCCGACGTTCAACATAGGTTTCCGCCGAAGATAAAGGAGCTGCGAACCTGGCGATTTTTGCGCGAGAAAGCCCCGGCTTCGGGCTCAAAGATAGCGGCTTTCTTTTTTTTCTTTATGCCTTTTCGTTCGAAAATTTCGATTTTTTTGATTTCCTCGACTACGCGCTACTTTCCGATTTTTCCGGTTTTTTTTCCGGGTTCGCGGAACGTTCGGAAGGAAAACGATACCGTTTCGGAAACTAGAAACTCGGCGCTTTACGGTGGAGCGAGAGTTGTCGCGGTAGGAGGAACGAACGCGATCGAAAATGGCCGCTAAAGTTGAAAAATCGGTAGATTTTCGTGCCGTTCGACGCGCTTTTTCTATCTCCTCCGAAGATAAAGGAGCTACGAACCTGACGATTTTTGCGTGAGAAAGCCCGGACGTCGGACTCAAAGATAGCGTCTTTCTTTTTCCTTTATCCCTTGCCGTTCGAAAGTTTCGATTTTTTAAAAATTGCCCGACAACACGCTACTTTTCGACGCGCGAAAAAGTCACTTTGTCATCCGGCTCTGTCCTCGCCTATTACTACCGTACGTGAGCGAGTAAAAATTATACAGCTATCGAAAAATAACGATAATGAGCTGAGGAAACGATTCTGACCGTTAGAATTACCGTCAAATTTCGAAAAAGTAAACTTTGAGCGCCTCAAAGGTACCGATGACAGCCGTTTTTCGGGGTACCTTGTCTTCGTCGATACGGACCTGCGTTACGGAGCGACGTAGCTACGATTTTTTTTCGCAAAACGAAAGACCAAAGTCTCCTGATTAAACCGACATACGACACGTTACCCGATCGTATTTTTTAAACTCGTCAGATTAGAAAATTCAAAGATATGCAGATATTTTTAGTTTGAAGTTTCAATTTTGAATTTCCCCTCCAGATTCGCGATTCCTGTTAGGCGGGGTAATGTAGGTATAATCGTATTACGAAAGCGAGCGAGTGCGAGCGGAACGTCCGAAACGTGCCATTTTCGGCTTTATGTTGGTCGCTTCATCGAATACTGGATCACGCCAAATAGAATTGTCCTTTTTTACGCGTGAAAATCAACATTTTCGAAAAGATTCAAAATTTCTATATTTCATAGTCTAAACGGACCGGCCATTATTATAATGATAATCAAGTATGCCTTGGCAACGATGTAATTTTACCGGCAGCTAAGCATTTAGGCTTTGACGTTTAGCAATTTGTTTACAAAAGTCATCATCACTTTCAATACGATAAATATGATTGTAAACCCTAATGAGTGGCATAATTTTTGATGAACGTTTATATGGATCCATCCTAAAAAGGCAACAAGTCCACAATATAGCATAACTTTGTGCTTATAGCAGTGTGTCTTGCAAGTGTCTAGTGGTGCCGAGTGTTTAGTTTTTCGGTTCAGACGACGTACCGCAGTGTATCTATAGATAATTTAGTTCATCTTTCAAGACGTTTGAGAGCGTCAGCAAATTTATATGAGGTAAACAATTTTCATTCCTGTCTTTTACCCCCAACTATGTAGTGGAATCGGGTGTGACGGTTAGCAATTTGTAGAAGTCATCATCAGTTTAAATACGACAAATATGATTGTAAGACCTAATTAGTGCCAAAGATCAATTCCTGAAGAGACCAGAAATCCACAACATAGCAAGACTTTGTGCTTATAGCATAATATAATAACAGATAACAACAGTCGGTGCCGAGTGTTTACAGTTTTTCGGTTCAGACGAAGTGCCTCAGTGTATATCTATCGTGATAATGTATTTCATCCTTGAAGAAGTTTGAGAGGTACCCTTATTAATCGTCAGCAGATTTAAATAAGGTAAAAATAATTTTCATTCCTGTCAAATCATAAAACATTTACACTGAAGAAAGAACGTGCTATCCTTAGGCGAACACGGTTCACATATGTCAAGTGTCAAGCGCCATTTTTTGTAAGTGCGGTAGCTAGACATGCGACGTTGCCGGATCCTCACATAAATCGGAGTTTGTCATACAATTTTATAGAGGGCATTAATGCTATATCGAAGATTTTATAATGCCATTGTGTGTTATTTATGGTGACACATGCGACGTTGCCGGCTCCTCACATAAATCTGAGTTTGTGATACAATTTTATAGACGGCATTGATGCTATATCGAAGATTTTATAAGGCCATTGTGTGCTATTGATGGTGACACATGCGACGTTGCCGGCTCCTCACATAAATCTGAGTTTGTCATAAAATTTTATAGAGGGCATTAATGCTATATCGAAGATTTTATAATGCCATTGTGTGTTATTTATGGTGACACATGCGACATTGCCGGCTCCTCACATAAATCTGAGTTTGTCATACAATTTTATAGATAGCATTAATGCTATATCGAAGATTTTATAATGCCATTGTGTGCTATTAATGGTGACACATGCGACATTGAAAAATGAAAAATGAATGAATAATGAAAAATGCAAAATGAAAAATGAAAAATGAAATATGAAGAATGAAAAATGAAAAACGACAAATGAAAAATGAAAAACGAAAAACCAAAAACGAAAAACGAAAAACGAAAAACGAAAAACGAAAAACGAAAAACGAAAAACGAAAAACGGACAACGGAAAACGGAAAACGGAAAACGGAAAACGGAAAACGGAAAACGGACAACGGAAAACGGAAAACGGAAAACGGAAAACCGGAAACGGAAAACGGAAAACGAAAAATGAAAACTTATAAAAGATGACAGGTATCAGATACCAGATACCAGATACCAGATACCAGAAACCAGATACCAGATACCAGACACCAGACACCAGATACCAGACACCAGACACCGGATACGAGATACCAGACACCAGATACCAGACACCAGACACCAGACACCAGATACCAGATACCAGAAACCAGATACCAGATCCACATACCAGATACTAGATACCAGATACTAGACACCGGATACCAGATACCTGAAACCAGATACCAGATCCACATACCAGATACCAGATACCAGATACCAGACACCAGACACCAGATACCAGATACCAGATACTAGATACCAGACACCAGATACCAGACACCAGATACCAGATAGCAGATACCAGAAACGAGATACCAGATACCAGACACCAGATACCAGATAAAAAGATAACAGATACCAAATACCAAATACCAGATACCAGATACCACACACCAGACACCAGATACCAGACACCACATACGAGATACCAGATACCAGATACCAGACACCAGATACCAGATACCAGATACCAGACACCAGATACCAGACACCAGATACCAGACACCAGATACCAGATACCAGACACCAGACACCAGATATCAGATACCAGATACCAGATACTAGACACCAGATACCAGATACCAGATCCACATACCAGATACCAGATACCAGATACCAGACACCAGACACCAGATACCAGATACTAGATACCAGACACCAGATACCAGACACCAGGCACCAGATACCAGATACCAGATACCAGACACCAGACACCAGATACCAGACCCCAGATAGCAGATACCAGAAACGAGATACCAGATACCAGATAAAGAGATAACAGATACCAAATACCAAATACCAGATACCAGACACCAGACACCAGATACCAGACACCACATACGAGATACCAGATACCAGATACCAGACACCAGATACCAGATACCAGATACCAGATACCAGACACCAGATACCAGACATCAGATACCAGATACCAGATACCAGATACCAGATACCAGACACCAGATACCAGACACCAGATACCAGATACCAGATACCAGATACCAGATACCAGATACCAGATACCAGATACCAGACACCGGATACCAGACACCAGATATCAGATACCAAATACCAAGTACCAGATACCAGATACCAGATACCTGATACCTGATACCAGACACCAGATACCAGACACCAGACACTAGATACCAGACACCAGATACCAGACACCAGACAACAGACACCAGATACCAGATACCAGACACCAGACACCAGATACCAGATACCAGATACCTGATACCAGACACCAGATACCAGATACCAAACACCAGACATCAGACACCAGACACCAGATACCAGACACCAGACAACAGACCCCAGACACCAGACACCAGATCCCAGACACCAGATACCAGATACCAGACACCAGATACCAGATAAAGAGATAACAGATACCATATACCAGATTCCAGATACCAGATACCAAACACCAGATACCAGATACCAGACACCAGATACCAGACACCAGATACCAGACACCAGATACCAGATACCAGACATCAGATACCAGATACCAGACACCGGATACCAGATACCAGATACCAGACACCAGACACCAGATACCAGATACCAAATACCAGATACCAGATACCAGATACCAGACACCAGACACCAGATACCAAATACCAGATACCAGATACCTGATACCAGATACCAGATACCAGATCAAAGATGCCAAAGGATAAAAAATGATTAGAGATAGGGATAAAGTTATCGCTAGCGTTGCATTAGCATACCAGCAACTGCGCTACGTGAGGTTTTAAATAAAGACATCAACGTGCAATATTTTGCATAGCGTTAGCGTGCCAGCAACTGCGCTAGTCGACTATATTAAGCGGTGATCGATTGTTTTTTGGGAGAGGCCACGTGACGTTACAAACGGTACCGGACTATACCCTTATTCATAGCAACAATCGAGTAGGTTCGTCGTATAGTATTGTCTAGTGATACCCGGTGCCGAGTGTTTACAGTTTATCGGTTCAGACGAAGTGTCTCAGTGTATATCTATCGTGATAATGTATTTCATCTTTGAAGAAGATTGTGGGGTACCCTTATTAATCGTCAGCAGATTTAAATAAGGTAAAAATAATTTTCATTCCTGTCAAATCATAAAACATTTGTACTGAAGAAAGAACGTGCTATCCTTAGCGAACACGGTTGACATATATCGGTGTCAAGCGCCATTTTTTGCAAGTCGTGTGGTAGCTAGGCTCATGCGACGTTGCCGGATCCTCATATAAATCTGAGTTTGTCATAAAATTTTATAGAGGGCATTAATGCTATATCGAAGATTTTATAATGCCATTGTGTGCTATTGATGGTGACACATGCGACGTTGCCGGCTCCTCACATAAATCTGAGTTTGTCATACAATTTTATAGACGGCATTAATGTTATAAGATGTTATTAATAACGACACATGCGACGTTGAAAAATGAAAAATGAAAAATGAAAAATGAAAAATGAAAAATGAAAAATGAAAAATGAAAAATGAAAAATTGAAAACTAAAAATTAAAAATTAAAAATTAAAAATTAAAAATTAAAAATTAAAAATTAAAAATTAAAAATTAAAATTAAAAATTAAAAATTAAAAATTAAAAATTAAAAATTAAAAATTAAAAATCAAAAATTAAAAATTAAAAATTGAAAATTGAACATTGAACATTGAACATTGAACATCGAACATCGAACATCGAACATCGAATCGAACATCGAACATCGAACATCGAACATCGAACATCGAACATCGAACATCGAACATCGAACATCGAACATCGAACATCGAACATCGAACATCGAACATCGAACATCGAACATCGAACATCGAACATCGAACATCGAACATCGAACATCGAACATCGAACATCGAACATCGAACATCGAACATCGAACATCGAACATCGAACATCGAACATCGAAAATCGAAAATCGAAATCGAAAATCGAAAATCGAAAATCGAAAATCGAAAATCGAAAATCGAAAATCGAAAATCGAAAATCGAAAATCGAAAATCGAAAATCGAAATCGAAAATCGAAAATCGAAAATCGAAAATCGAAAATCGAAAATCGAAAATCGAAAATCGAAAATCGAAAATCGAAAATCCGAAAATCGAAAATCGAAAATTGAAAATTTGAAAATTTGAAAATTTGAAAATTTGAAAATTTGAAAATTTGAAAATTTGAAAATTTGAAAATTTGAAAATTTGAAAATTTGAAAATTTGAAAATTTGAAAATTTGAAAATTTGAAAATTTGAAAATTTGAAAATTTGAAAATTTGAAAATTTGAAAATTTGAAAATTTGAAATTTGAAAATTTGAAAATTTGAAAATTTGAAAATTTGAAAATTTGAAAATTTGAAAATTTGAAAATTTGAAAATTTGAAAATTTGAAAATTTGAAAATTTGAAAATTTGAAAATTTGAAAATTTGAAAATTTGAAAATTTGAAAATTTGAAAATTGAAAATTTGAAAATTTGAAAATTTGAAATTGAATTTGAAAATTTGAAAATTTGAAAATTTTAAAATTTTCGATTTTCGATTTTCGATTTTCGATTTTCGATTTTCGATTTTCGATTTTCGATTTTCGATTTTCGATTTTCGATTTTCGATTTTCGATTTTCGATTTTCGATTTTCGATTTTCGATTTTTCGATTTTCGATTTTCGATTTTCGATTTTCGATTTTCGATTTTCGATTTCGATTTTCGATTTTCGATTTTCGATTTTCGATTTTCGATTTTCGATTTTCGATTTTCGATTTTCGATTTTCGATTTTCGATGTTCGATGTTCGATGTTCGATGTTCGATGTTCGATGTTCGATGTTCGATGTTCGATGTTCGATGTTCGATGTTCGATGTTCGATGTTCGATGTTCGATGTTCGATGTTCGATGTTCGATGTTCGATGTTCGATTCGTTCGATGTTCGATGTTCGATGTTCGATGTTCGATGTTCGATGTTCGATGTTCGATGTTCGATGTTCGATGTTCGATGTTCGATGTTCGATGTTCGATGTTCGATGTTCGATGTTCGATGTTCAATGTTCAATGTTCAATGTTCAATGTTCAATTTTCAATTTTAATTTTTGATTTTTGATTTTTAATTTTTAATTTTCAATTTTTATTTTTTAATTTTTAATTTTTAATTTTTAGTTTTCAATTTTTCATTTTTCATTTTTCATTTTTCATTTTTCATTTTTCATTTTTCATTTTTCATTTTTCATTTTTCATTTCTCATTTTCCATTTTTCAACGTCGCATGTGTCGTTATTAATAACACACATGGCGTTATAAAATCTTATAACATTAATGCCGTCTATAAAATTGTATGACAAACTCAGATTTATGTGAGGAGCCGGCAACGTCGCATGTGTCACCATCAATAGCACACAATGGCATTATAAAATCTTCGATATAGCATTAATGCCCTCTATAAAATTTTATGACAAACTCAGATTTATATGAGGATCCGGCAACGTCGCATGAGCCTAGCTACCACACGACTTGCAAAAAATGGCGCTTGACACCGATATATGTCAACCGTGTTCGCTAAGGATAGCACGTTCTTTCTTCAGTACAAATGTTTTATGATTTGACAGGAATGAAAATTATTTTTACCTTATTTAAATCTGCTGACGATTAATAAGGGTACCCCACAATCTTCTTCAAAGATGAAATACATTATCACGATAGATATACACTGAGACACTTCGTCTGAACCGATAAACTGTAAACACTCGGCACCGGGTATCACTAGACAATACTATACGACGAACCTACTCGATTGTTGCTATGAATAAGGGTATAGTCCGGTACCGTTTGTAACGTCACGTGGCCTCTCCCAAAAAACAATCGATCACCGCTTAATATAGTCGACTAGCGCAGTTTCTGGCATGCTAACGCTATGCCAAATATTGTACGTTGATGTCTTTATTTAAAACCTCACGTAGCGCAGTTGCTGGTATGCTAATGCAATGCTAGCGATATATACTTTATCCCTATCTCTAATCATTTTCTATCCTTTGACATGTTTGATCTGGTATCTGGAATCATATATCTGGTATCTGGTATCTGATGTCTGGTATCTGGTATCTGGAATCTGGTATCTGGTGTCTTGTATCTGGTGTCTGGTATCTGGTATCTGGTATCTCGTATCTGGTATCTGGCATCTGGTATCAGGTATCTGATGTTTGGTATCTGGTATCTGGTGTCTGGTATCTGATGTCTGGTATCTGGTGTCTGGTGTATGGTATCTGGTGTCTGGTATCTGGTGTCTGGTATCTGGTGTCTGGTATCTGGTGTCTGGTATCTGGTATTTGGTATCTGTTATCTCTTTATCTGGTATCTGGTTTCTGGTGTCTGGTATCTGGTGTCTGGTATCTGGTGGCTGGTATCTGGTATCTGGTATCTCGTATCTGGTGTTTGGTATTTGGTACCTGGTATCTGGTATCTGGTGTCTGGTGTCTGGTATCTGGTATCTGGTATCTCGTATCTGGTATCTGGTTTCCGGTGTCTGGTATCTGGTATCTGGTGTCTGGTATCTGGTGTCTGGTATCTGGTGTCTGGTATCTGGTGTCTGGTATCTGGTATCTGGTGTCTGGTATCTGGTGTCTGGTATCTGGTGTCTGGTATCTGGTATCTGGTATCTCGTA